GGACGAAGAGAGCCCTCAGACTTTAGACTCCTCCGAGCAACCACAGGGAGCGCAGGAGTGGACTTGTGTGCCTCCTCGACACAATATTAAGACCTGAGGATGGTGTTCAAATTTTGCCCACTGGCTCATTTGGACACGCGCCCCCCTCCCCCTGCTAATATGTTCTTTTTTATTCTGGGCCGAGCTCCCCACTCTTGCAGGGCTCATAGTCCACCCTCCATAGTAGATAGTGATTCACCGGGGAAATTAACATCTTAGCCAGCGCGCTTACCGGCCCTGTGTATTGTCTCTAAGGGACAGCGCTTAGCTCAGGCGTGCCCTTGCCCCTAATACATCCTTCCCAGCCATCGCTCTAACCGAGGTGCTTCTTGCCCTGGCTCTTCTGATCTCTATTGGGTCCAAGCTATCACCAAAGAACGGCCCACCCTGCGGCTAAATTAGATGGTAAACTTTTTGAGGGCCTTCTGATTCTGGCGCCGATTCCACGGTCATTGCCCAAGACGCCTGGCCCGATTCATGGCCACTGCAGCCCTCCCTTACGCACTTACAAGGTATAGGACAGTCTCAAAATACTCTCCAGAGCTCAAAAATTTTGACATGGGAAGACCCTGAGGGAAACAAAGGCACCACTCAACCCTTTGTAGTCCCGAGCCTACCTGTTAACTTATGGGGCGTGATATCCTTGCACAAATGAATGTCATTATGTGCAGCCCAATGAAAGTGGCTGTTCTCCGAGACTGAAATTGAATAGGACGGGGGGCCCGGGGCTGGCCCCTCAGGCCGTTTTCCGAAAGGGGGGGCAAGGGGTTTTTAAGGTAATTGGTCTTGGAGCGGGATTGATTGGCCCAATGCTTTCCCCTCCTACAGCGAGGACAGAGGGAGGAGGGCTGATCTGGCCTGCCTGGCGGTTTATTGCGGTTAGAGGTAGCGGAGGAGGCGGCTAAGGGGCACTGCCTCGCAAAGTGCCCTGGTTGACCGCACTTAAAGCAGTCCCTCTGGGCCGCGGTCCCTTGGATGGCGGCTCTAACCGCAAGCTGTACGGCCTGCGATACTCTATGGGTGAAGGGGTCAACATCGTTACACATTTGGATCATATCGTTAAGGTCTTTTTTCTTAAGTTTGCCCCTGAGGATGGCCCTGCAAGTGCTGTTGGCATTTTCATAGGCCAATTGTTTAATGAGTTTATTATCGCTATCTTCTTGTCTGAGGGTCCTCTCAGCAGATTCCAATAGTCTACCTACAAATTCACTAAAGCCCTCTTGAGCTCCCTGGGTGATTTTTGTCAGGGGAGTGAGAACAGATCCCGTAGAGGGAAGTGCTCGCCAGGCGCCGAAGGCGGCTGCGGCGGTCTGAGACAAGAGCCCAATCGGGAGTCTCCTTTGGCGCTGTTCAGCGGCAAACCTCCCTTGTCCGCTAAGCTTTTCAAGGGTCCAAGATGCGGAACTGGGGATTTTTAAATTATGAGCAGCCGTGGTCTGGCAGCGGTCGATAAAGTCGGCCTTCCATGAGAGGAACTGCCCGCGAGAAAGGACCGCCTGTACTAGCTTGATCCATTCTCCGGGGAGCAGGTAGCCGCCTCCCGAGGCTGCCTCCAGGAGGGAGTAGGTGAAGGGTGCATTGGGCCCATACGTCCTAACGGCAGAGTTCAGTTCTTTTAAGGTTTTGAACTTTAGTCTGCGAAATTCAGTGGGCTCTGAGTCTGTCTCTTCCGGGAGGTCGTCGCTTTCGCTTTCTCTTTCCCTCCCTTCCGTATCCTCGTTATCTGAATCTTGGGGCGAGGACTGGCTCGAAGAAGGGGAGGCAAGGTCTTCTCGCCTATTAGACCGGGTAACTACTGGTAATGCTAGGGCTTTAGGAGAGGATTTTAAGGATTTTTTATGTAAGGTGACGTGCGACTGGGCGGTCTCATGACGGGGCTGGCCTCGGGAATGCTAGGGCCTTATGGGGGGATTTTAGGGATTTCTTATTTAAGGTGGCGTATGACTGGGCGGTCTCATGATGTGGGTGGCTAATGAAGACCGAATCTTTAAGCGTATCTTGGAGGGAGGACAAGTCTTTGGAAAGCTGGACAAACTCTTTTTGAAGTTGTAAGACATCTTTTAATTGCGTAACCCTTTGACTTAAGTCTTCTTTGGCACGCAAAAGCAAGGGCATTGTAAGGGGAGGCATTAACGAGGGTGCGCAAATCTGGGGCGGGCAAGGAAGAGGTCTATGGGGTGCTGCGGTAAGAGGCGGCCATTCGGGATTGTGATATCGGGCCGCTTCCTCCTCGAGGGTTGCCTCTTCTGTGGGGTCAAGGGACTCTCGGAGGGATTGTCTCTTGAATACCGGGTAATTGAATGCATGAGGGGCAGTGCCCTCGGGCAAGGGAGGGTAGAGGGTCTTGGGGTCTGGCCTACTAATCGGGGGCTCGTCCCTAGATGTCTGGAGCTCAGCCGAGGGGTCCTGAGGAGGCATATTAATACAAACCGAGGGGCAAGGGGAAGGGCATGTAGGTCCCTCAGGATCATTAGGGGAAGTTGACCCTTCGGCCGTCTTTAAAGACGTTCCCGAAGCGGACCGCGACACAGGTCGGAGGCAGAATTCTGCTACTGAGAGCAGCTGCTTTTTATTGGGGTCTGAATCTGCCCCTTCAACAATATCTCTGATTAGTCCCCAGTACGAGAAAACAGATACAGGGACGGCATCTGGGCCCTGATTTAGAAGTAAATTGTTTAGATCTCTGCCTACTTTTTGCCACTTGCGTGGGTGAATCTCGGGTCCACCAACAATAAACCAAGGGCAAGCTCGGTCAATGAACACAAAAAACTTTACTAAGTCTTTTTTCTTAACTCTAATTCCTCTCTCTCTGAGTGATGCCTTAAGTTCCTTGATAAAAACGGCCTCTTTAGACAAGGAATGGCCCATCTCGATGGGATGACAATGTAAAAAATCTACTCACCAGACCGTCGATTCTGTGAGCGGCAGAAGGAAGGTCTCTTCTATGGCGTGCACGGCTAAAGAAGTGGTCGCAGCGTCATCCGGCAAGTGTCCGTGCCTCGTGCCCCACGTTGGGCGCCACTTGTCCTGGCCCGCGGGACCTTCTGTTACTCGTGGGGGTCAAGGGGGACCGTGCCTGAAAGAGATGGGGGAGAGAAAGGAATGAGACCAAGCAAAGGGTTGCCAAGGTCTACTTTACTTCGATTCTTTGTTGGTTTTATAAGCATACAGAGACAAAGAGGTAGGGAGGGGCAGGGGGGTTTTAGGGCTAATCAGCCTCTGGCAGCAAGCCGGTCTGGCAACTCAGAGTATTTTCTGCTCAGGGTATTTCCGGGTTAAGAACTTCAAAGGCCTCGGTTCCCAACATCAGCCCCCTGAGGGCAGGCCTCTGAGCAGAGCAGTGTGTGGCGTGAGTGAACAGCCCAAGGCTCCAGCCCAAGGCTCCCGTGGTGGGTACAGGGGTGTGTCCAGGCAGGGCAGGGCCTTTGGGGGGACAGGCCCCAGAGTGAGGGGGTTGTGCTTGGGTCCTCTGCCCCTTGCATTCCCAGCATGAGTTGACACATGGGACTGGCTTTCTGCTAACCAGACTCCAAAAAACTGACCAAGAACCCAGAGTGGCAAGGTCCTAATTTACACAGATGGACACAAGGGAGGGTGACCTGCCCAGGTGAGCTGCTGAGGGTGGTGGGTGGCCTTAAGCTGAAAGGGCAACACCCTCTGTGTGAGGCCTAGGTGAGCTGAGCTGCTGAGGGTGGTGGGTGGCCTTAAGCTGCAAGGGCAACACCCTCTGTGTGAGGCACTTCTGGGCTCACCGAGCAAGGCCTTGCCCACTCACCAGGTGGGGGAGCATCTCCGTGGGGGTGGTCATCTGTGGGGGTGGTCATCCGGTGCTACATGGACATGGCATTAACTAATGTGGACTCCCTGGAGAGAAGGTTACTGCCTTTCCAGTATCTTCCCAAACTGTTTACCAGAGATAAGCCACCATTTGTTGCAAATTGAAGGCCTGCAGGTTTGTCTTGCATACCCTTAGGCCTGTTAATGGGTTATAAAGGAAGTCTCTAAGAAGGGAGGGGAGCATGATAAGGCATGTCTAACCTCCCTCTTTCTGGCAGGCAACTTTGCCCCTGAATATTCTTCTGGCCACGAGGGGGTCTATTTAGTCATTTAGTCAGCCAGTAGGGGTTCAGCATTTTAGTTCACAATTTTTTTTTTTGGCCAAGATTTGTTATAGGCAGCATCTATGGCCAAACTTTTATTTTGTCCCATCTGTTGCCAGGGTGGTGTGGCTACCTGCCCTGGGTCTATTTAGTCTCTCGGTGGGACCCTTGTGGTTAAGAGGACAGGAAGAGCCAAACTGGGACTTATAGCCAATTAAATAAGCCATACAGGATGGGAGGTAGACAGGCACTTATTACTACGCTAATTCTTTAGATGACATAAGAGTAAAATGCAAAATATTAAAGGCAAGGCTATAAAACTAATTTATCTACAAGTATTGAGATATACTATGTTCTTGGGTTTAGTGGTAGACTTGTAGCAAATATAAGCATTATTAATTAATATTTAAGCTAAGGGAGTTTAGTAATTTATATTAAGGTAGCTGATAAATTATTCATTATATTTTTTTGTATAATTTATAACAGATAAAAATTATACTCAGTAAGTTTTAAGTTTATAAAAAGCAAGAAAAAGGAACTTTTATGATTGGGATGGATATTTGCAGCATGTGGCCTGAAAAGACAAAGTATTTTTTTTAGTATTCTTTTAGGCTTTTGCACGTCCCTCTTATATTTGGAGGGGTAACTAAATCCATCCCTCAGAATTGGCCCTTACAATTTGGCATGCCCCCTCTTCTGCGATATTCTCTGGGCTCAGAGGGAGGATATTTGAACAGGGCTTTGGCAGATTTTATGGTCCCAGAGATTAGGTAAACTTGCTAATTACTTAAAATTTGTCAGGACTCTGGAAAACAAAACAAAAGAATTAGTAATGTTTTTTTGTTTTTTTTTTGAGACAGAGTCTTGCTTTGTTGCCCAGGCTGGAGTGAGTGCCGTGGCGTCAGCCTAGCTCACAGCAACCTCAAACTCCTGGGCTCAAGTAATCCTGCTGCCTCAGCCTCCCAAGTAGCTGGGACTACAGGCATGTGCCACCATGCCGGCTAATTTTTCTATTATATAGTTGCGCCATTAATTTTCTTTCTATTTATAGTAGAGACGGGTCTCACTCTTGCTCAGGCTGGTTTTGAACTCCTGACCCTCGAGCAATCCACCCACCGCTCGGCCTCCCAGAGTGCTAGGATTACAGGCGTGGCACCACCGCGCCCGGCCAGTAATGTTTTAAATAAAGAGTCTTTATATGAAAATTTAGTTTTATTTCATGAGGTCTGAGTTAGCTATATTTACGGTCATATGTATGTAGATATTGATTAACGTCTTGGAACTTTGTTTTGTTTTAGTCTAGTGGTATATATAATTTCTAAAGTTATTTAGAACTAGTATTTTATTTTTTTTTATTTTATTTTTTTTTATTCTTTCTTTAAGCAACTATACACAGCAGAAAATAGAAACTAGTATTTTAAGCGGATTTGTCAGTCTTTTTTATGGCCTTTACTTGAAGAAGCCAAGTTTTAGACTTAGCCAGAAAGAACTACTTTTTTGAAATGAATTAAAGTAAAAATAATAACTTAAAAGATGATAAAACTTGACCAGCTATGGTTTATAGTTGACAAACCAAATTGGTTTATTTTGTGATATAGGCAATTTATATAATAACTATAATTATTACTGATATACATACCAAGCACATACTATTATTGCAAACTTAGTATACTTAATCATGTACAGCTCATACGATCCATTTTTATTTGACAATGTTTTTGGATGGTTTTGACATATTATAAATAGTAATGTCTTTCTTAGACTTTAGTGATTTTAAGTATAAAAAGCTAATTAACAAAAGGTCAAAAGGCTGGATTTAGAATTAACTTTTTGGAAAGGTCATTAAATATTATAGGCTTAAAGCATTTGTTTATATATAATCACAAACTACTATAAAATAATTGTTACACAAAGAAGAGAGAGGACATTAATAAATTTAAAGGTGATAAAGTTATATGGATATAAAATCTTAACCACCCTTTTTTTTTTTAGTTAGTCAGAACCTAATAAAGAGAGACAGGGATTATTTGACACAGTATAAAATGTTTTACTAAAGCATAAATGCCAATTACTAAAATTAAACAAAAACCTTTTGTACTACACTACTTTTTATATTAAAGGAAAAAAAAACATGTTATAAATTAAAATGAGTACACATTGTTATTTTATTAAGAGTAAATTAATATTGACAGAAATTTTTGTTTTAGCCAAATTTTTTAATAAATTTTTTTTATAAACTTTATCTTTACTTGATAGGCACATACACCATTTATAAAACATACCTTAAAACTTTCGATTTTTTCTTATACATTCTCTTTTTTCTAATAAACTATTTATTTTAGGACGAAATTTCATGGAAGACCTTTTTTTTATATTAATTCTTTTTGAAATTATATAAAAACCTTATTTTTATATAAGATATTTAATTTCTATATTTTCTCTGTCCCTTTACATTTTTTTCTTATATAAGTGGAATTTTGTTTTTATTTTCTTTTTAAATTTATTTTGATTTAGCCCTTATTAAAATGTGTAACTTTGTCTAATAAGAACATTCTGTTTTATATTTTTTGGTACACTTTATATGTAGAATTACATATAATGACTAGAATTCTTATTTTTAGTAACTTTAAATTTTAGTGAAAACTTTAAAAAGTAGGAAATTATGAATTGTTTATCTTAAGACACTTGTCATGAAACAAGATTGTAGGTTACTGTAAAATTATAGCCAAATTAATAATTTAAATATATATATATATATTTTAAGTGAGAAAATTTTATTTTTTTTGAGAAAGGAGACTCAGTGTCTCAAACAAGTATAAGACCTAATGGACGGACTGCAGTACAAGTTAATAAGGAAGCTGAATCTGTGTCTTTTTTGCAGTTTATTAAAAGGTGAATAAAAAATTGTTATTTTTATGACAATCTAGTTTAAAAGAGAAAACCAAATTTTATTGTATTAGTGTACTAATGATTAAAGTTAATTTTAATAAAATCTTATAAATAAATCTATCTAATTTTAACCTATAAGACTATAAGACTTTTATAAACCTTTTATAACTTTCAGGAACTCTCATTTTTACACAAAATTATGGAAACTAAACAACCTTTTACTAAATGATTACTTTATAAACAAGGAAATTAAGATGGAAATTAAAAGATTTTTTTTTGAACTAAATGACAAGTTATCAAACACAAGTTATTAAAACTTGTGGGAGGAAAGTTTATTTCTATAAATGCCTATAAACAAAATTATCTTTTAACAAAACTAATACTTATGTTGTATAACATTTTTATTAAAGATTTTTGTATAGGGTTGTTTTTTTTTATTTAGAAGTTTTAATTACACGTGCTAACCATAATGTCAACTCTTAGAAAAATTTAGGAAGTTAAACTTTGAACTGTTAGTCACTAATTTTATTAGTATTCTTAAATATAAAGCTATGAAGAAAAATTTAGGAAGTTAAACTTTGAATTGTTGGTCACTAATTTTATTAGTATTCTTAAATATAAAGCTATGAAGGTATAAACTTATATTTAAGAACTGATGTTCTAGTATTTTACCTTATAAATGACCCATTTATAAGGGACATATAATGACATTTTAGGATTATCTTTTTTTTTTTAACTTAATATAATGACTGTAAGTTTTTTTTTTGAGACAGAGTCTCACTTTGTTGCCAGGCTAGTGAGTGCCATGGCATCAGCCTAGCTCACAGCAACCTCAAACTCCTGGGCTCAGCAATCCTGCTGCCTCAGCCTCCCGAGTTGCTGGGACTACAGGCATGCGCCACCGTGCTCGGCTAATTTTTCTATTATATATTTAGTTGGCCAATTAGTTTCTTTCTATTTACAGTAGAGATGGGTCTCGCTCTTGCTCAAGCTGGTTTTGAACTCCTGACCTTGAGCAATCCGCCCGCCTCGGCCTCCCAGAGAGCTAGGATTACAGGCGTGAGCCACCGCCCGGCTGACTTTAAGATTTTAAATTACATGAAAACTTTATTTGTATTTATTGCATTTGTATTTACCTAATTCATTTATATTAGCAGCTTACTTAGATTTTTACTATTAAAAGTTTAAGTTACTTTTTTATTAACCATTTCTATACCCTGTAAATTAGATATATATAACAGAACATGGATTAAAATACAAACTCAAATTTTATTAAAAACAATAAGCATTTTAATAAGACTTGTTATTTTAACAAATACATCACTTTTAAGTTTTGTAAATATAGTGGTCATTTTAGAATATTTTGTTTAAAGGTATTAGCTAATTAGATCTTTTTAAAAGCCTTTATTTTAAGCTAGTTTTTTTTTAATCTCATCAACATAAGATCTCTTGGCTGTAGACTGAGGGAAAAAAACTTTCAGCACCAATTGTTAGCACCTCAAACAATGATATAAAGCGGTTAACATGGTTAAATGGTCTCAAAACAATGTTTAGTGTATAAACTTGAGCACATTTATAGAGTAAGATTATTTTGAGATTCTTATGGATTTTAACCATTATTCACTTTTTATCTTAAAATAAATTGCTATATAAAAATTAATAAATTAGAATTTTTTTAGGCAAAAACTCTATTATAGTAACACAATGTAATTATAACTAGCTAGATTATAAAGAGTAGGACAAAAATGGACAAGACCAAGGTAAAACTAAAGTTTTCAATTTAAGTTTTTTACAACTTTCAGGACAACTTTGAATTTTTAACAGTATTTTAAATGAGTTGAATACACCTTGTGCACCTCTCTACAGGCTACTGAATGAGTGGAGGTAAACTATTTTTGCAGTTAGGATTAAAAGACCAAAACTAATATGTTTTTTATACACTTTTAACGATTAATATTGTGGATTTTTTTTCTTCTACTTGGTGTTTTATTTATTCTAATTTGCTTGACTCAGGTACATTTGCATTTTTACCTTAAAGTTAAACACATAAGTATTTTGTTGGTAACCCAGATTTAGTTAATATTATTTGACCAAATATTAAATTTACTTAACAAATCACCCTATTTACTTTTCATTTGCGGATACATTTTTTATCAAACCTTTACACTCAAGAACTTAAAATGTTCTAGTGGCCGGGCGTGGGTGGCTCACGTCTGTAATCCTAGCACTTTGGAGGCCGAGGCGGGCGGATTGCTCAAGGTCAGGAGTTCGAACCACCTGAGGCGAGACCGGACCCGTCTCATCACACAAAAATAGAAATAAATTAATTGACCAACTAAAAATATATATATACAAAAATTAGCCGGGCATGGTGGCGCATGCCTGTAGTCCAGCTACTCGGGAGGCTGAGGCAGCTAGGATGCTCTGAGCCCGGATTGAGGTTGCTGTGAGCCAGGCTGACGCCACGGCACTCACTCTAGCCTGGGCAACAAAGTAAGACTCTGTCTCAAAAAAAAAAAAAAAAAAAAAAAAAAAAAAAAAAAAAGTCTAGTAAAACCCAGGCAAAAACAAATGTATGCTGACGGTTTGAAAGCATTTTTATTATTACTTTACTAATAACACCTTTTTATTTATTAATAATAACACAGCTTATTTACCAACGGTTACTAAATTTATATGAAGCATTTGGGTTTATTTTATGAGCGCTTTCTTAATTTTAAAACAGTCTGAAACCTATAAGCACAAACATGTGATATATGGACAGACATAAAACATACCCAAACATATACATTCTCTTAGACGCATACATACACACAAAGTTCTGATAAATTTTACCTTAGAACGTTAGCCATGAAATGGTAACACAAACTCACTAGCCTGTAAAAGAAAGCTGGATCTAAATTTTTTTTGATGAGACTGGAACTTGTACACCTGGCAAACTTTAGTTGACCTGATAGGTAACGTAATTAGGCCTGTGGATTAAAGTTTTGGGTAAAGCAGTTTCTATGGCAGTTTGATTTTTTTTTTCTTTAGTGCAAAATGAGTTTTCTATGTTAGCATTTTAGCTAGAACTGGCTGCAAGGTCTCTAGGTAGCCTTTCAATTGTAAACAAACAATGAGTTATTTTAACATCACTAGAAAAAGTTAGCAGATTTTAGAGTAGCCAGAAAGGAAGAGAGAGTTGGCTTGAGACATTTCAATTGAGACATTTTAATAGTGGGGGGTCGACCATTGTAGCTCTGAATTTTTCTTGATGTAATTTTGCCCTTTCTTAAAAACTTGTGCACAAGAATTAGCTATAACCAGCTGGAAATGCCCTAGAAAACCTGGCATGCCTTTTAATCTTTTTATTTACAAAAATACTTGCAAGTAGAGACGCTGCAAACCAACTGAGGTGCCCCAACAGGAGTCATTTTCCTTGCCCTTCCCTCACTCTTAAAGAATTTGTTTCTCTTCATTTTTTTTTTTTTTGTTTGTTTTCAAGGAACCAAACTGTGGTCTAGGGTTTGGTGTAGTGGATCAGAGCATGCTGCTTGTGGGTGGGGCTCCTCAGTGTTTCACCATTGAGTCGGTCCCACACTCTTACGTGTCTCAGTTTCTCTTCGAGGGTCTAGTACCTCCAAGAGGGCTCAAAACGTCTAGTGATCAGCTCTTATATGCGTTTCCTGAACGAGCCTTTTTTAAATTAATTTGTTGGGGGGTTCCCTGTGGGGCTACTCGCCCCAGGTGACTCCCATTCAGGGCCCTGGTCACCCAGAGCTGCCTTAGGTCTGGGAGGAGTAAGCTGCCCCTTATCTTCTGAGCTGAGAAACTCAGTCTCTCATCTATCTATAAATAGCACAGTTGGGTTCTTTGCACAAATGCACAGACAAGACAATTGAAACTAGTTTTGAGAGGAAAAAAGGCAACGGAGAAAGCCCTTTAGAATGCACCTTCAAACCTAAATTAGGATCCCAAACAACAATTCCTAGGAAAAGAACCAGCTCAGAATAAACCAAGACCATCAACCAAAAGCGGGAGGTCCGGGTCTCAGGAGGACTTACCAGTTCCCACCAAAGGAGAAGCTCTGAGTCGGAGGCCTAAAAGGGCCATGCCGGTATCTGGCGCCGAGTCCGCGCTGCTCCTTAGGAGGCTCTGAGTCTTCTCTGAGATCCTGCCGACTACGCCAAAATTGTCAACGGAAAAAAGCCAAGTCTGCAAAATAATTTTAAAGAGATTTATTCTGAGCCAAATTTGAGGACCATGACCCGGAGCCACTGCCAAGAGGCCTTGGGCAAGTGGACTCGCTGTGGCTGGGTTACGGTTTGGTTTTTATACATTTTAGAGACGAGGGTTATGGGTAAAGCCATCAATCAATGTGTGGGAGGCATACATTGGCTTGGCCCAAAAAGGAGGGCCATCTCGAAGCGGGGGCTTACAGGTTATAGGTGGGTTTAAAGATTCTTTAGATTGTAATTGGCTAAAGACTTGAAGCTTTGTCTAAAGACTTGGAATGTTTTAACATAAACTGTTTACCAGAGATAAGCCACCATTTGTTGCAAATTGAAGGCCTGCAGGTTTGTCTTGCATACCCTTAGGCCTGTCAATGAGTTACAAAGGAAGTCTCCAAGAAGGGAGGGGGGCATGATAAGGCCTGTCTAACCTCCCTCCTCCTGGCAGGCAACTTTGCCCCTGAATATTCCTCTGGCCACGAGGGGGTCCATTCAGTCAGCCGGTAGGGGTTGAGCATTTTAGTTCACACCAGCCTTCTGATTAGGAAGGAGAAAGCTGCAGTTTGGTGCTAGGACACCTGGCTGCCTCTGGGCAGCCAGGGAACAGCGTCAGGCTAGAATTTTAACTACATTGTTTCCATCATCCACCTGCTTATCTTCATGGTTAGCATCTATTTCTGGCAAGTGATACTTGTTTACTGCTTGTGATGACTCCCTAACACAGCCCCTGCAGCGCCCCCTCCATGGGAGCTCTCAGCTGAGACCCAGAGATTTGTTATTGTCACCTCCACACTGCCGATGGGGAAAGAGGCTCCAGCCACGTGGTGTGCCTGAGGCCACACAGCTAAGGGTGGAGAGGTTGGGATTTCAACCCAGGTCCACCTGACATCAGAACCTGTGTTCTTTCCTTTGCCCCAACTCCCAAAAACATTGAGGATCTGAATCCTGGAGGCTGCCTCCTTGGGGACTTGCCCCAGGGCTTTCTCCGGATTCATCTCTTTTTGCCGTGTTTATTCCCACGATGTTCCTTGTTGGAGCCTCAGCCGGGACCCTGGGAAGGGCCCCACACTGCAAGTCCATCAGTTAGATGTGGAGGCCACTTATGTTTTCCTCTGAGCTCAGTGACAGCACCTGGGAAACAGGCTGTAGCCCTGCCCTGCACCCCGCACATGGCTGCAGCGTGGGTCCAAGGAGGTGCTAGACAAGCCTGTCAACCCCAGCTTCCCTGGTCTCCCTGACGCTGGGTCTCTCCCACTTCTCCATCTCCCCACACAGTCCTGGTGCACACAGGCTGTCATGTCCTACACTCCTGACACCTGTGGATGTCGATTATTGAAGTCAGTTGGCTGATAGAGCTGTGGGTAACAGGACGCGCATGCCTTTAACCAGGGGTCCTCAAACTTTTTAAACAGGAGGCCAGTTCACCGTCCCTCAGACCGTTGGAGAGTGAGCACCGTGGGCCCTGGACAAGTTGGCTCCTAAGCAGGACAGGCATCAGTGGCAAAAACACCCAGAGGGCCTGATAAATGTGCTAGGAGACCCGTATGTGGCCCGCAGGCCGTAGTTTGAGGACGCCTGCCTTAAACCATTTGCTTTTACTCGTGTAAGTGGACATTCTCTTGTTAATCTGTTGGTGAGGACCCCACACCTCTCCCGGGAGACTATCGTGCCTGTTGCCTGACCCATCCCCGTAGGGCAGCATCTACAACTTCCAGCTGTGGCTCTTCAGAGTTGGGCCAGAACCTTCAGAGGCTTGAGAAGACATGAGTGCAGCGCCCTTCTAGATTTGGATAGTTAGCAATCATGTCACCTAAATTGTAGGCATTTTAAAAGCAATTTGCATGTATCAAGCTTTTCCATGGGATTCGAGTTTATTTCACAGAAACCACCATGATTGTTCTGTTTCTCCTTCAGTTTGAGCAGCTTACCTAACAATTATATTAATAGCAAGAACTCAACAAGCACAGACTGGTTTTAGGACACTCTGGATCTCAGGAAGCATGTTACTCAAGAGAGGGGGTGGCATGGAGAGGAGTCTCAAAGGTATGAATTCCATTGCACATACACAGTTGTGCAAGAAATGTTTTCTGGTTTTCTAAAAGGCAATGTCAGTCTCGACGTCCCCACTTTGCCAGGCTGGCAGGAGACATGAACCCACTAAGGAGTTTCAAGGTGAGGGACTGGGTGGGGCTTGGTTCTTGGTGCTCACACGTTGCTCAGAGATGCTCATCTTCAAAAATTGGCATGGGGGGGGCTCAAAAGTGAATAGCTCCCTGCTGTCTCTCCATCCCCTTGGGTCCTAATAGCCCATATTTACCTGGAAGGACTGTAGTGTGGCCTGTTGAAGAAGCAGGTGCAGCTAAAACCATCTTACCCTGTTGCCTAAGAATGCAAAGAGGGCCAGGCAAGGTGGCTCATGCCTGTAATCTAACACTTCGGGAGTCCAAGGCAGGAGGATTGCTTGAGGCCAGGAGTTGGAAACCAGTCTAAGCAACTCAGTGAGACACACCCCGCCTCTACTACTACTACTACTACTACTACTAAAAAATTAGCCAGGCTGGTAGCACAGGCATGTAGTTCCAGCTGCTTGCTCAGGAGGCTGAGGAGGGAGGATTGGTGGAGTCCAGGAGTTCGAGGTTACAATACCCCATGATATACCACTGCACCCCAGCCTGGGAGACACAGCAAGACCCTGTCTCAATAAACACACACCAGAACCTCCCCACCCCCAGAGGTGGGAGAGTGGAGCCTAAAACACAGTGAGGCCACTCGTCAAGCCCCAGGCCCAGAGTGGATGGAAGTGAGCATTCCCCAAATGGGGCACCTTTCTCCTATTGCACAAAGGCATCCTACCAGCCAGTATAAGTGCTGGGGTGCCCTTCGGCTCCAGGATCCACAGACCTTCCTTAGCCCCTCGCCACTTGCCCCAACCCTGGGTCCGCCCCTCTGGACACTCTCTTCTTCCCTGCGTCCTCAAGGATTCCCCGCCCATGCCGGGGAATCCTCTCCCAGCCCACTCCGGGCAGGCTGTTCCGCTTTCTGCCCCGCCACACCCTGCTCCTCTGGGGCAGCGAGCACAGGGGAAGGGAAGGGGAAATACCGTGAAAATGGAAAGAAAACAGAGCCCAGATTAACGTCTTGGTCCTCTCTCTCTACCGGGCAAAGCGCCTGCCTGTCAGAGGCACAGGCGGCTCATTTCGGGCGGCTCCCTTTCTCCTTCGTTTGTATAAAATCACACAGGTTTTCCGGTTCTCAGTGCCCTTTCCGCAAGCAAGTCAGGGACGCAGCCTTTTCCAGCTCGAGGACCCTGCGGCAGCCCGCCCAGGGTGGAGCCCAGCTCACTCCCACGCCCTCTGCGTAGCCCAAGGGTGCGCCGGAACCAGCCCTGTGCTTCCGACAGGAAGTACCGAACCCCCATTGACTCCGCCTCCCTCACCACAGCGATTGGCTAAGAGGCTGGCAGCTGACCCAAAAGGGGCCAATTGGAGAGCGCTAGCCCTGTGGCGGCACTGATTGGGCCACTGATAGCCATGTGACATATCAGACCAATCAGGGTCCTTCCCGAGGGTTTGTTTACCTGAGACTAGCTCACCTGTGCCTGAGTCACAGCATCAATGTATGAAGAGATCCCCTGGGAGTGGGGAGGCGTCGGCCTCCCTGGCTGAGGGAGGTGGGAGGCGTCGGCGCTTTGGCTCTAGTCATCCCCAGCCTTTCCCAAGGCCCATCCTTAGATTTGATGAGGCTGCCGGAGGGTCTTTCGAGTAAATTCCTCCCTCCTTAGCTAGTTTCAATCAGGTTTCTGCCCTGGGCTGGGAACAGCGACTCCCCTGGAGTGGTAGCGGGGACCTGTAATCTCAGCTACTGGGACGGCGAGGCAGGCGGGAAAATCGCTTGAGGGGAGTAGTTGGAGACCAGCTTGGTCAACATAGTGAGACCTCGTCTCTTAAAAAAACAAAAAACATGGACTCCGGAGTCAGCCAGCCTGGCTTCAGGTCCCCACCAGCACTCGAACTCACTAGCTGTGTACTTGGGGCATGTTACTGAACAACTTGCTGCCTCAGTTTCCCCAGCTGTAAACCTTGTGTACATTGGGGTATTGGGGATTAAGTGAGTTAATAACAGTACTTGCTACAGAGAAAGCCCTCCATAAACACAAGCACTTCAAACAGGAGCACGCTGGGTCCTACACCTAGGACCCTTGACTCTTCCCTACATAGTGGAATCTCAGTGGTTGCTTTATTTGAAAATAAGGTCTTTGCAGATACCATTAAAGACTTCACCTAGCACTCTGGGAGGCCCAGGCAGGCGTATTGCTCAAGGTTAGGAGTTCGAAACCAGCTTGAGCAAGAGCGAGACTCCCGTCTCTACTATAAATACAAAGAAATTAATTGGCCAACGAATATATATAGAAAAAATTAGCCGGACATTTTGGCGCATGCCTGTAGTCCCAGCTACTCGGGAGCCTGGGGCAGAAGGATCCCTTGAGCCCAGGAGATTGAAGTCACTGTGAGCTAGGCTGACGCCACGGCACTCACTCTAGCCTGGGCAACAAAGTGAGATTACATTTTTCTTATATATGCGGAATTGTTTTATTCTTTTTATTTATTTTGACTAGCCTTATTACAATGTGAACTTGTCTAATAAGAACATCTGTTTATTATTTTTTGTACATTTATGTAGACATACATATAATGACTGATTCTTATTTTTAGTACTTAAAAATTTTAGTGAAAACTTTAAAAGTAGAAATTATGAATGTTTAATCTAAGACACTTTCATGAAACAAGATTGAGTACTGTAAAATACTGCCAATTAATATAATAATAATATACTATACTATTCTAAGTGAGAATTTTATTTTTTTGAGAAGAGACTCGTGTCTCAACAGTAAAGACCTATGGACGGATGCGTACAGTTAATAACGGAAGCGAATCTGTTCTTTTTTGCAGTTATTAAAAGGTGAATAAAAATGTTATTTTTATGAAGATCAGTTTAAAGAGAAACAATTTTACTTGTATTGTGTCTAATGATAAAAGTTATTTTAATAAAAGCTATAAATATTATCTATACTTTTAACCTATAAGACTTATAAGACTTTATAACCTTTTATAATTTCGGAACTCTCATTTTACACAAAATTAGGACCTAAAAAGCCTTTTACTAAATGTTACTTTATAGGAACAGAGGAATTAAGGGAGATTAAGATTTTTGAACTAAATAAAGTTATTCAACACAAGTTTATTAAACTTGTGGGAGGAAGTTTTTATTCATAATGCTATAAACACAATTATCTTTACAAAACAATACGTTTATGTTGTATAACATTTTTATAAAAAATTGTATAGGTTTGTTTTTTTATTTAGAAGTTTTAATTACACGTGCTAACCAATAATGTCACTCTTAGAAAATTAGGACTAACTTGAACTGTACTACTAATTTTATTAGTATTCATTAATATAAAGCTATAGAAAAATTAGGAAGTTAACTTTGATGTTGGTCACCTAATTTTATTAGTATGTCGTAATCTAAAGCTATGATGGTATAACTCTATATTTAAGAACTGATGTTCCTAGTTATATTTACATTTATGACCATTTATAAGAGACAATATAATGACATTTTAAGGATTATTTTTTTTTTTTTTGAGACCGAGTCTCATTGTTGCAGAGCTAAGTGAGTGCATGGCAATCGCCTAGCTAACAGAACCTCACCCTCTGGGCATCGAGAACCTTCTGTCTCAGTCCCGAGTGACTTGGAATCAGGACATGCGCCCATGCCGCTAATTTTTTATATATATATCCAGCTTGCATAGTTCTTCTTTTACAGTAGAGATGGGTCTCGTGCTTCTTGCCTAGCTGGGTTTGACCCTGCTTGAGCAAATCCGCCGCTCGCTCCCAAGAAGCTATGGATTACAGGGGAGCACGCCCGGCTGACCTTTAAGATTTTGAATTACATGATAACTTTATTTGTATTTATTCTGCATTTGTATTACCATAATTCATTTATATTAGCAGCTTCTTAGATTTTACTATTAATTTAAGTATTTTTTTTTAACTTTTATACCATGTAATTAGAATTTACACGAAAATGGATCAAATACAATCAATTTTATTAAACATAGCATTAATAAGACTTTGTTATTTTAAAAAAACTACTTTTAAGTTGTAATTATTGTCTTTTAAATATTTTTTAAGGTATTAAGCTATTAGTTTTGAATATGTCTCTTTATTAGTAGTTTATATTCTCTCATACTATATCTCTTGTTTTGTGGATATTTCTTTTATATTTTTTTTTGTCTATTTTCTCTATATTTGATTATATTAGCTTTATCTATTTGGTTTATAATTGGTCTATATAACTATATGTTATGTTATATATTTCTTGTATGCTACATTATTATGATATGTATAGTTAATATATATATATATAATTTTGTATGTTATTTTGTATCCTATATTTATTCACTTTTACTAAAATTGCTATTATTAACATATTAGAATTTTTTAGGCAAAAATCTATTATAGTACACAATTAATTATAACTAGCTAGATTATAAGAGTAGGACAAAAATGGACAGACGAAGGTAAAATAAAAAGTTTAATTTAAGTTTTTTACAACTTTCAGGACACTTGAATTTTAACAGATATTGTACAATGAGTTGGAATACACTTTGATGCCCCTCTCTACAGGCTTGAATGAGTGGAGGTAAACTAATTTTTGACAGTTGGATTAAAAACCAAACCTAATTATAGTTTTATGACACTTTTAACGATTATAAATTTGTTTTTTTTTATTCTACTGGTGTTTTATTTCATTCTAATTGCTGACCTAGGTACATTTTGCATTTTACTAAAGTTAAACCTAAGTATTTTTGTTGGTAACCCAGATTAGGTTAATATTAATTCTGACCACATATTATAGTTACTTAACAAAATCACCCATTAATTTGTCTTTGCCAGAGTATTACACATTTTTATCAACCTTTACACCCAAGAACTAAGAATTCTAGTGCCGGGACGTGTGGCTCACGTGCAGTAAGATCTAGCTAATTTGGGAGCCGAGGCTGGGCGGATTGGGCTCCAAGGTCAGGATGTCGAACCCAGCCTGAAGCGAAGACCGACCGTTGCTCTACCAAATAAGAATAATAATTGACGCACTATATATAAGTAATACTAGCCAGAAAATATAGCCGGGCATACGGTGCGCGCATGCCTGTAGTCCAGCTACATCGGGAGGGCTAGGCAGCAGGATTGCTTGGCCAGAGTTTGAGGTGATGTGAGCAGCTGACGTAGCGCATCACTCTAGCCTGGGGAACAAGTAAAGCTCTGTCTCAAAAAAAAAAAAATGCTAGTAAACCCAGCCAAAACAAATGTATGCTACGGTTTGATAAGCATTTTTATTATACTTTACTAATATCACTTTATTTATAATATGAAACAGCTTATTTACAAGGTTTACTAAATTTATATGAACGCATTTGGTTATTTTATGAGTGCTTTTAATTTTAAAAAGTCTGAAAACCATAAGCAGCTAATGTTGATATATGGAAGACTAACATACCCCAAATCGACCCATCCGTTGATCAACTTGCCTAAGCCAGTTCTGTTGAATGAAAAAAAAAAACAAAAACATTTACGCAAACATACATTCTCTTTCAGACGCAGGCGCCTAATACATACAAAGTTCTGATAAATTTACCTAGAGACGTTAGCCTGGAAATGGTAACCAAGAATCACAGCCTGTAAAAAGAAAGCTGGATCTGAAATTTTTTGTGGACTCGGAACTTGTACACCTGCAAACTTTAGTTGAGCTGATAGGTAGATCGTACTTTCGGCCGTGGAATTAAAGTTTTGTGGTAAAGCAGTTTCTAGTGGCAGTTTGATTTTTTTTTTTTCTTTAGTGCAAATGTATACAAGACATTTTGGCTAGAAAATGCATCAAGTCATACTAGTAGGAATTCAATGTAAACAAAAAACAAAAAAAACATGAGTTATGTTTAACATCACTGAGAAAAGTTAGCAGATTAGGTAGCAGAACGGAAGAGAGAGTTGCTTGAGACATTTACATAGTGGGGGGTCGACCATGTGTTTAGCTCTGAATTTTTATTGATTATTTCTGCCCCTTTCTTAAAACTTGTGCACAAGATTAGTATAAGCCAGCTGGACACTAGGAAAGCTGCATGCCTTGTGAATCTTTATTAGCAAATCACTTGCAAGTAGAGACGCGCCGAAACACTGAGTGGCCCCAACAGGCGATCATTTGCTTGCTTCCCTACCTCTTAAGAATTCTTTTCTCTTCATTTTTCTTTGTTTGTTTTCAAGGAACAACTGTGTCAGGGTTTGGTGTAGCTGTCAGACATGCTGCGTTGTGGGTGGCCCTCAGTGTTCCCGATTGGCTCGGTCCGAACTCTTACGAGTCTCAGTTTTCTCTCCGAGGGTCTATCCTTCCCAAGAGGGCTCAAACGCCTAGTTGATCAGCTCTTATATGCGTTTTCCTGAACGAGCTTTTTAAATTAATTCTGTTGGGGTGATCCCTGTGGGGTACTCGCCCAGGCGACTCCCCATCTCAGCG